AGAAGCCCCCGAGCGGCCTCAGATAGCCCAGGATGACCTCCAAGAGAGCTCAGATAGCCCAAGCTGGCTCAAGATGGTTCCAAATATGCTCCAAGCGACCCCAAGACCGCTCCAAGACGGCTCGCAATGGCCACGGAACCTCCCAAGCCTCCCTCGCTGTTTGACTATGCGTGTCTCTTCCTCTCTCCCTCCGTCAACTCTCATGGGCATCGTTTCTGGATGGGCTGGTGGGGATACTTTCTCAGTCGCAGCCGCAGGCGAAGGCGCCAGCAGCGTCAAAGTTGGTGGGGATACTTTTTTTCGCGGCTGCAGGCCAAGGGGCCGACAGCGTCAGCAGAGTTAGCTCGGGCTACGAGTAACCTAATTGCCGGCGCGCGCGCCGAGCAAGCGCCGAGGGAGTGCGAGTACCATGGGAGCTGAATCACCAGGCACGAGAATTCGCCCTCTTCGCCACCAGGCGCCAGAGGAGACCGAAGCAAACCGCAAAGTACACGCCAGGCCGCACAAGCAGGCTGAACCACTCCTGAAAGACACGGTGGGCCAGTACCCCAGGTGGCCAGCTGACAACCAGAGCCAGGGAAGTGCAAGCACTGCCAGAACTGGTCAGAACGCGCGAAACCTACGCCAGGGCTCACTCGGTACCACGGAACAGAGAGAGAGCGCCTCCACCGAGGCTGAGGAGGACGGAGCCCAGCGACAGTGGCGGAGTGGGAGCCAGGCCCGGCCAAGCCGGGCAGAGTCTGGGGACCAGGGCCCAGGAGAGTGCAAGCACAAGCGCTGGTATTGGTCAAGACGCGTGAATCGAGGACGTCACGAAAGGGCCAGAACCAGGGTAACCACGCCAGGCCGTGGCAAGGTCTGGGCAAAGACCAGAGTGCAAACAGCTTTATAACGGCCAGGGCCGTAAGGCACGTCGCGCCCCGCCCCGGCGGATGCAGCGTGCCCGGTATTGACGGCGACTGGGGGCCACCTCCCCGAGGGCGGGGAGGCCGGCCGAGCCAGGGGCCGAGCAGGGGCCGACACGGAGCGACCCTGGCCCGGCAGCGGGGAACTGAACCGCGCTGCAGCCAGGTGCGGTGAAGGCCGGGGGAGGGCCGATGCCATGGGACCGAGCCAGGCCATGTCGAGGTCAAGGTGAAGGCTGGCATGAGCACAACTACAGCAGCGGCCATGGCCGATAGGTACGCCGTTCCCGCCCCAGCGGGTGTCAGAACGCGCTACTTGACGCGGGGCGGGGTGGGGGGAGGGGGAACGGTGAGAACGCCTAAGATTCATTCAGCCGAAGCGACAGTGACGACTAGGTCTCCCGAGGCCCGTTAAGGGGGACTGCCCAAATACCCCCCCCACCCACCCATCGAACGAAACAGCATACGAGCTGAAACGTCTTTGGTGTGTGCTGCACTCTGCCTACAACGCAAACGTGATCGACCCACGAACCCGGAATGGAATATAGAAGTGTAACGCATGGCAACGTTTTCAAAGACACCTGATTGGGTGACGGGCAAGTGCAATGCTGCTTGTATCGATCTTGATGTACCGTGCCGAGGACTGTGCTGTGCTGCACCGTGCTTAATTGCGATGTGCCATGCCGCGGTTGTGCTCTATAGCGTCGTGGATCGAGTCTTCCTTTGCATCCGAGTCCTGACCGAACTGATCTGGATCTTAAGCTCGAGCTGCCTGAACACATAGAAGCTGCCCCAGAGCTAATTGACAGGGGGACATGCCAGGAGGACGCGCCGCGAAACGTCCCAAGGGACGCGCCAGGCGACGTGCCAGGGGACGTGCCATGGGGTCGCACCGTAGGACGTGCCAAAGGGGACGCGCTACGGAACGTGCTGGGGACAAGCGTTTCGCTCGAGACATCCTGTCAACATCCTCATTCTAGACATCCGCCTGAGCGACCTGGACACGTGAAACCAAAAATGTCGCTCAACACATCCTCAACACATTCTCATGCTAGACATCCGCCTGGGCGAACTGGACACGTGAAAACAAGTAATTCGCTCGAGACATCCTCAACACAGATTCATGTGAGACGTCCGCCTGGGTGACCTGCGCACGTGAAAACAAGCGTTTCGCTCGAGACGTTTTCAACACCTCCTCATTCTAGACATCCGCCTTGGCGACCTGTACACGTGAAAGCAAACGTCTCGCTCGAGACATCCTCAACACATCTTCATGTTAGACATCCGCCTGGGCGACCTGGACACGTGAAAACAAGCGTATCTCTCGAGACATTCTCAACACATCCTCATGCTAGGCATCCGCCTGATCAATCTGGACACGTGCAAACACGCATCTCGATCGAGACTTCCTCAACACCTCTTCATGTTAGACATCCGCCTGGGCGACGAGGACGCGTGAAAATAAGCGTCTCGCTCGAGACTTCCTCAACAAATCCTGGCGCTTGACCTCTGCCTGGGCAACCTGGAGGCGTGAAACCAAGCGTCTCGCTCGAGACATCCTCAAGACCTGGGCACGTGAAACCAAGCATTTCACTTGAGAGATCCTCTGAATTCAGGTCCCCAGGAGAGGACAATCTATAACACAAAACAAGCGTTTCGCTCGAGACATCCTCAGGAAATTCTGAAAAACAAGCGTTTCGCTAGGGACATCCTGAAATTCTAATTCGGCGGCCCTCTCCCCACCCATTATTTATCGCAAAAGAAATCCGCTGGCCCTCTTCCCGTCAAACCCGGGGGTAAACCCACTAAAAGAGAACCCTGGGCCTACGCCCTTTCCGGGAAAAAACATATTGTCCTAAACGCCAGACCTCGACTCCCCAGGAGCCTCGGAGGCTCTGGGGGATGGGGAGTGGGGCGGGGGGAAGGTCAAACAAAAGCGGGGGAGGAGACGGGGGACAATACTATGGAGAAGTATGCCGTGCAAAAACAATGTAAACGCAAGTGCGACATAAAGAATAAGCGCTAACGGACAATCGCAAAATGATATTGGAAATGCTAGACTACAAACGCGGCCCAGAGGGGTCGGGGCGCAGATGCGCCCGTCGACCGCCCAAGGAGGGTCGAGGCGCCCCCATTTTGGAGCGGGTCAGCCGCTGGCGCGCGCAAAGAGAGGGAATCAGGATGGCAAGGCCCGAAACTTATGGAAGTTATGGAACTTCGGTAAGCGAAACAAATCTAAATGTGAATCTTCAGTCGGGCTCCAACATAAGTTCCCTAACTCGATTCCCTTGTTTCTCTAATGGTCTTTTACGCTTCTATTTGTCTCAAGTGCAGGGGGAGGTATCAGCCTCTTCCCATTCGGGGAGGGCTTTACCACTGTTCCCTATTCATGAGCACCCCCTCCCCAGGCGACCGGCAACCAACCAGGACCAAGGAGGGCACCTAGCCCCAACATCCCTGAAAACATGATCGACCCACGAACCCGGAAAAGAATATAGAAATGTAAGGCATGGCAACGTTTCAAAGACACCTGATTGGGCGACGGGCAAATGCAATGCTGAATGTATCGATTTTGATGTACCGTGCCGAGGGCTGTGCTGTGCTGCGCCGTGCTGATGCTGAACTGCGATGTGCCATGCCGCGAATGTGCTCTATAGCGTTGTGGATCGAGTCCTCCTTTGCACCCGAGTCCTGACCGAACTGATCTGGATCTTAAGCTCGAGCTGCCTCAGCACATAGTAGCTGCCCCAGAGCTACTTGACAGGGGAACATGCCAGGAGGACGCGCCGCGGAACGTCCCAAGGGACGCGCCAGGCGACGTGCCAAGGGACGTGCCACGAAGACGCACCGCGGGACGTGCCGAGGGGACGCGCTACGGAAAGTGCCAATGGACGTGCCAATGGACGTGCCAGGAGACGCGCCGCGCGACGTGCCAGGGGGACTCGCCACAGGACGCGCCACGGAACGTGCCACGTTGCAATCCTGAGTGTATCGATCTTGATGTACCGTGCCGAGGCCTGTGCTGTGCTGCGCTGTGCTGAACTGCGATGTGCCATGCCGCGATTGTGTTGTGGATCGAGTCCTCCTTTGCACCCGAGTCCTGACCGAACTGATCTGGATCTCAAGCTCGAGCTGCCTCAGCACATAGTAGCTGCCCCAGAGCTAATGGACAGGGAGACATGCCAGGAGGACGCGCCGCGGAACGTCCCAAGGGACGCGCCAGGCGACGACGTGCTAGGGGACGTACCACGGGGACGCACCGCGGGACGTGCCGAGGGGACGCGCTACGGAACGTGCCAATGGACGTGCACCGCGCGACGTGCCAGGGGGACTCGCCACAGGACGCTCCGCGGAATGTGCCAGGCAACATGCCAGACTGCAATGCTAGGGGTATCCATATTGATGTACCGTGCCGAGGGCTGTGCTGTGCCTGGGCGACCTGGACTCGTGAAAACACGCGTTTCGCTCAAGACGTTCTCAGCACATCATCATGCTAGACATCCGCCTGGGCAACCTGGACAAGTGCAAACAAGCGTCTCGATCGAGACTTTCTCGACACATCCTCATGCTAGACATCCGCCTGGGCGACCTGGACACGTGAAAACAAGCCTCTGGTTCGAGACATCCTCAACAAATCCTCATGCTAGACATCTGTCTGGGCAACCTGGAGGCGTGAAACCAAGCGTCTCGCTCGAGACATCCTCAAGACCTGGGCACGTGAAAACAAGCATTTCACTTGAGAGATCCTCTGAATTCAGGTCCCCAGGAGAGGACGATCTATACCACAAAACAAGCGTGTCGCTCGAGACATCCTCAGCAAATTCTGAAAAACAAGCGTTTCGCTAGGGACATCCTGAAATTCTAATTCGGCGGCCCTCTCCCCACTCATTATTTATCGCAAAAGAAATCCGCCGGCCCTCTTCCCGTCAGACCCGGGGGTAAACCCACTAAAAGAGAACCCTGGGCCTACGCCCTTTCCGGGAAAAACCATGTGGAGCCCACGTTGGGGGAGTGCCTCTCGGCATGGGCCTCCACCCTGCCTGCCTCGGGCCCGGACCGCGGCTCGCGTGGAGGCGGCGGCCGCGGCGCAGTCTCCCGGCAGATCGGCGCGTGGCCGCCGCCGAGCCCAGGGCCCGCCCGCAGCGCCGCGGCCGCCCGCCCGTGCGCACCTCAGTGTGGCGCGGGCGCGGGGGCCGTGCCCTGCCCGCGCGGGCTGGCCGCCCCAGTGTGCAGTCGTTGGAAGCCTAAAAATGGGCAACAACACCAATCAGGGGGCTGCCTCCTCCTCCTCCTCCTCCTCCTCCTCCTCCTTCCTCCTCCTCCCCCCCCTCCTCCTCCTCCTCCTCCTCCTCCTCCTCCTCCTCCTCCTCCTCCTCCTCCTCCTCCTCCTCCCTCCTCCTCCTTCCTCCTCCTCCTCCTCCTCCTCCTCCTCCTCCTCCTCCTCCTCCTCCTCCTCCTCCTCCTCCTCCTCCCTCCTCCTCCTCTCTCCTCCTCCTCCTCCTCCTCCTCCTCCTCCTCCTCCTCCTCCTCCTCCTCCTCCTCCTCCTCCTCCTCCTCCTCCTCCTCCTCCTCCTCCTCCTCCTCCGCCTCCTCCTCCTCCTCCTCCTCCTCCTCCTCCTCCTCCTCCTCCTCCTCCTCCTCCTCCTCCTCCTCCTCCTCCTCCTCCTCCTCCTCCTCCTCCTCCTCCTCCTCCTCCTCCTCCTCCTCCTCCTCCTCCTCCTCCTCCTCCTCCTCCTCCTCCTCCTCCCCCTCCTACTCTTCCTCCTCCTCCTCCTCCTCCTCCTCCTCCTCCTCCTCCACATGGGCAAGATGATCCTAGATCTCGGTGTTGGTGGCAATATTTCGGTCACCTTGACAGCCAGAATGTTGCCACCATCGCCGAGATCGGGATCTTCTTCCCTCGGTGAAGGCACACCGCCGATATTGGTGTTGGTGTCAACCTCTGGGCCTGCGAAGTCGGGCTCGAGGGGAGAGGGCACGCGCAGCCCTGAGATCCTGGCGACCCAGTTCTTCGAGCGGGGCGTGTTCGCTCCACTTCGGGGCCCGGGACCCCCACAGGTCGATCCGGCTCGAAGAATGACGCGGAAAGATGGGGTCCGGGGGTCAGGTCGCGACTTCCTGCGATGCCGCATTTGTTCTGCAGCGTCGGATCTCAGGGCAGTCTCTCTCGAGAGCCGCGTTGCCGTAGGACTGGCGAAAGGCATGGGTCGAAGAGCACAGGACACAATTGTGTGTACCCTGGATTTGGCAGGGTCGACCTATACGAATCAAGCCCGACTGTAACAGGGGATATGTCGACCCCTGTCCCAGGCGTCGTGGGGTTTCTGGATGGACAAAAAAAATTAGGGCCCAACCCTGGGATATACGAGGGGGGGCGTCCATCCTCGATAGGGGTGCGTCCGAATAGCCCCCTGCGGGTGTATCCCAGGGTTTCCCTCCTTTCTGAGCCGCTCCATGTTTCGTCGAAAAGTCGGGGGCTGGGATAGAAACATCGCCTGCCCGACTGCAGCGCGCCCCGGCTGGCCCCGGCCAGAACGGGGGGATCCACTCCCAGGGATCCGACGCTCCGACAGAAGTGGGAGCGGCCGGCCTTTGGGCCGCTTCTGGCCTCTCTCCTGGGGCCTCTCGCTGGGCCTCGGGACGAAACACTGGCCCATGGGGAAGTGGTACAGATTTCCGGGGCCCACGCATCGACAAAAATGGCAGCAGCCGGTTGTCTGGGCTCGAACAGGAGGCTGCTTCTTGGAAGGCGCCGGCCCTACATCTATAGAGAAGGCCCGCGCCTTCTAAGAAGCAGGGTGCTTCCGGGGCCCACGCATCGACAACATGATCGACCCACGAACCCGGAAAGGAATCTATAAATGTAAGGCATGGCAACGTTGCAAAGACACCTGATTTGGCGACGGGCAAATGCAATGCTCAGTGTATCGACCTTGATGTACCGTGCCGAGGGCTGTGCTGTGCTGCGCCGTGGTGAACTGCGATGTGCCATGCCACGATTGTGCTATAGCGTTGTGGATCGAGTCCTCCTTTGCATCCGAGTCCTGACCGAACTGATCTGGATCTTAAGCTCGAGCTGCCTAGGCACATGGCTAGTAGCTGCCCCAGAGCTGATTGACAGGGGAAACTGCCGGGAGGACGCGCCGCAGAACGTCCCAAGGGACGCGCCAGGCGACGTGCCGAGGGACGTGCCATGGGGACGCACCGCGGGACGTGCCAAGGGGACGCGCTACGGAACGTGCCAATGGACGTGCCACGGGACGTGCCAAGGGACGCACCAAGCGAGGTGCCAGGGGACGTGCCACGGGGACGCACTGTGGGACGTGCCAAGGGGACGCGCTACGGAACGTGCCAATGGACGTGCCACGGGACGTGCCAGGGGACGCGCCGCGCGACGTGCCAAGGGGACTCGCCACAGGACGCGCCACGGAACGTGCCAAGTTGCAATGCTGAGTTTATCGATCTTGATATACCGTGCCGAAGGCTGTGCTGTGCTGCGCCGTGCTGAACTGCGATGTGCCACGTGACGATTGTGATCTATAGCGTTGTGGATCGAGTCCTCCTTTGCATCCGAGTCCTGACCGAGCTGATCTGGATCTTAAGCTCGAGTTGCCTGAGCACATAGTAGCTGCCCAAGAGCTAATTCACGGGGGGGCATGCTAGGAAGACGCGCCACGGAACGTTCCAAGGGACGCGCCAAGCGACGTGCCAGGGAACGTGCCATGGGGACGCACCGCGGGACGTGCGAAGGGGACGCGCTACGGAACGTGCCAATGGACGTGCCACGGGACGTGCCAAGGGACGCGCCGCGCGACGTGCCACGGGGACTCGCCACAGGACGCGCCACGGAACGTGCCAAAGAACGTGCCAGGTTGCAATGCTGAGTGAGTGTATCGATCTTGATGTACCGTGCCGAGGGCTGTGCTGTGCTGCGCCGTGCTGAACTGCGATGTGCCATGCCGCGATTGTGCTCTATAGCCTTGTGGATCGAGTCCTCCTTTGCATCCGAGTCCTGACCGAACTGATCTGGATCTGAAGCTCGAGCTGCCTGAGCACGTAGTCCACGTACTAGCTGCCCCAGAGCTAATTGACAAGGAAACATGCCAGGAAGACGCGCCGCGGAACGTTCCAAGGGACGCGCCAGGCGATGCGCCAGGGAACGTGCCACGGGGACGCACCGCGGGACGTGCCAAGGGGACGCGCTACAGAACGTGCTGGGGATAAGCGTCGTGTTGGTGGCCTGGACACGTAATTACGCTGCGCCCGCGCTCCCAGGGCCGCGACCCCTTGTAAATTACAATGCGTCCGCGCTCCCAGGGCTACGATCCCTCGTAAATTACACTACACCCGCGCTCCCAAGGCCACGATCCCTTGTAAATTACGCTACGTCAGCGCTCCCAGGGCCACGATCCCTCGTAAGGGCTCCTGGGCCCTCCTGGGTCTTCCTTGGACCTCTTGGGCCCTCCTGGGCCCTCCTGGGCTCTCCTGGAGCTTCTCCTGGGCCCTCCTTGGGCCCCCTGGTGCCTCTTGGAGCCTCCTGGGTCCTCCTGGGCCCTCCTTGGCTCTCCTGGGCCCTCCTGGGCTCTCCTGGGCTCTCCTGGAACCTCCTGGGCCCTCCTGGGCGAAGTCGAGGTCCGAAAACACATGGGACTTGCCACATTTCTGAAATTCGGTGCCACCCCTCACGCAGGTCGGCGGGGTCAGGATCCGAAAACAAAGGGGATTTGCCACATTTCTGGAATTCCGCGCCACCCCTCACGCAGATCGGCGGGGTCAGGGTCCAAAAACACAGGGGATTTGCTACATTTCTGGAATTCCGTGCCACCCCTCACGCAGATCGGCGGGGTCAGGGTCCAAAAGCACAGGGGATTTGCTACATTTTTGGAATTCCGCGCCACCCCTCACGCAGATCGGCGGGGTCAGGGTCAAAAAACACAGGGGATTTCTGCCATTTCCGAACTTATGCAACTCCAAGAATCCCAAACTCAGTTCCCAGCGCCGTTCCGGAGGCCGCGGTACCTCGTTATTTATCGAGCGAATGCGTTTACATCGTTTTTTATAATTTAGAATCGATGTCGGAAAAAAGTGGACTTCACCTGTGAAATATCGAGGTTTCCTTAAAGGCAGTAAAATTCCAAGAGCACGATCTGCGTGAGGGGTGGCGAAAAATGGCCTTCGTCCTCACAATTGAAATCCGCCGGCCCCCTTCGACCTCGTAATTTCTCGCACAAGAATTCCGCCGGCCCCCTTCGAGTAAAAACCGGGGGGAAGACCATCTAAGAGAGAACCCTGGGCTCGAGCCCTTTCCGGGAAAAATGGTAGCAGCCGGTTGTCTGGGCTCGAACAGGAGGCTGCTTCTTGGAAGGCGCCGGCCCTACATCTATAGAGAAGGCCCGCGCCTTCGAAGAGGCAGGGTGCTTCTAAGAAGCCTCTCGCAGAGAGTTCGTCCTAATGGTGAAATCAGACACCACGCAAAAACACCACGCAAATACACCACGCAAAAACACTACGTAAAAACACCACGCGAACGCGGAAGGGTGAATTAGACATCACGCAAATACACCACGCAAAAACACCACGCAAAAACACCACGTAGCGGTTTTGCGTGGTGTTTTTGCGTGGTGTGTTTGCGTGGTGTTTTTGTGCGCCGCTGGGGCGGCGCGGGGACGCAGTGGGGCAGGTCGCGGTTCACGTGGTGTGTTTTTGCGTGGTGTTTTTGCGCGGTGTATTTGCGTAGTGTATTTGTGCGCCGCTGGGGCGGCGCGGGGACGCAGTGGGGCAGGTCGCGGTTCACGCGGCGTGTTTTTTTGTTCTGCGTGGTGTTTTTGCGTGGTGTATTTGCGTGGTGTTTTTGTGCGCCGCTGGGGCGGCGCGGGGACGCAGTGGGGAAGGTCGCGGTTCACGTGGTGCTTTTGCGTGGTGTTTTTGCGTGGTGTTTTTTTGCACCGCTGTGGCGGCGCCGGAGCGCCGTGGGACAGGTCGCGGTTCACGTGGTGTGTTTTTGCGTGGTGTTTTTGCGTGGTGTATTTGCGTAGTGTATTTGTGCGCCGCTGGGGCGGCGCGGGGACGCAGTGGGGCAGGTCGCGGTTCACGCGGCGTGTTTTTCTGCGTGGTGTTTTTGCGTGGTGTTTTTGCGTGGTGTATTTGCGTGGTGTTTTTGTGCACCGCT